ATATAAATTTGCTAAGATTGAAAAATTATTATTGAAATTTTTCTTGAGAAAAAAATTTGAACATGCTTTATATTATAAATTGTACTTTTTTATAAAAAGGTATTAATAATCAATAACGTAAATTTAAAGACTATGGATTTAGAATACCTGTGATATGTATAGATTTGACTTTTAAAGTCTGATAAATATCAGCGTTAACCAATAAAATTTTATAAATAATGGATTTTATATATTTTCAAAATCTGTAAAAAAAAAATACTGTTTATGTACAATCCAATACGTAATGCGAATATAAGTTAAAAAATTTATAGTTCTTATTGTGAATTTAAATATCTTTGTTCTTATTCTAAAATGTCTTCCCTTCTATATAGTATTTGTTAAAACGTTAGATCCTTCAGTTGAAAAATTATAACACGTTTTAAAAGTATTTATTAATTAGTTAATGGATAGTTTGTATTTATTATAAAAATCTTTCAGTATATTGAACTTCTGGATCAGTAAGCTAAATAATGATAAAATTAAAGTTTGAGCATGTTTGTTAGATTTGCTAGATTTGAACTTTTGATTATACGATTTTTATTTAATAGGGTTAATATTCGATCCAATTAGTTGTTGCACATCCCAAAATTTATTAAATTTTATTATTTTACTAATAATTTTTAATTATTGATTTTTTGAATTCGCTATTTAATTGAAATTATGAATAATTTAAAGGTCAACAGCTTTATAATTATGAATTCATTATATATGTAATATTCTTAATAATACATTACAAAGTAAAAGAAGTAATAAATTATTACTACATTGGTCTCCTTACCTTCTTACGTATCGTACAATACGTGTAAGGAAGGAATTTGCGTTGCTGAAGACACACGTCTTAAATTTTTTGTATGCATCATCATCTTAATTTAGTAATCATTTCTTATAGGCGAGCGAAGAAGTCACAATACTATTTAAGTTAGCAAGTCTATACGTATATTGTATGAATACAATAAAAGTTTATTTTCTGGTGCGATAACAAATTTGAAAGATTTGAAAATGTATTTTGCATCAAAAATTTTTTTTAATTTTGACAATGTAATTTAAAGAGCTTTTGATTCATGTATGGAGTGATTACAAACTTTTTTTTCTCCTGATTGGCTTATACTCACTTTTTGTAAATTAAAGTTTGTTTCATATTATACAAACTCTTAAATTACCCAATTTTTTTTTTTTAGATGAAATGCGCATGATACGACGTCTATAGTGTTGGTATTTCACATATTTATATGAAATATACTTCCTCGAAAAAATTTCAGGATTATGTAACCAAATGATACAGAAAAAAACTAAAGGACGTTTAATAAAATTTGAACATGAAATAAAATTCTAAAAAGTTATATTTTTAACGTCATTAATAATTGTTTAATTAAAATTAGGGATGGCAACGGTCGGTCATGGTCGGTCATCGGTCGGTCATAACAGGACCCAGAAATATATATATAAGGGTTAGGTTTGAGTTTGCGTATTTTGAACTAAAAAAATCATGAAAATCTTTCCTTTTTTAGATAATTTTTGATAATTCCGGTCAGAATTTTATTTCCTATTATAGTAACCGACTGACATTATCATGATTCCGGCCCTGAAAAAATGCGTACAGCTCATAGTAAAAAAATTTTTTCATCACCTGACCCCTATATATATATTTCTGGGTCCTGTCATAACCGGTCAAGAACCTTTGACCGACCGACCGACCGTTTGACCGACCGGTCTGACCGACCGGTTAATCGACCATTTGACCGACTGGTTAACCGATCCTGAAAACGTTTGCGAAACGTAATTTAATTGAAATACTTAATAAAAAACGTTTTCGCAACGTTTTCTATTAAAATAATTAAAAAAACGTTTGCGAAACATTTTTTTTTATTAAATTACGTTTCGCAAACGTTTTCAGGATCGGTTAAACGGTCGGTCAAACGGTCGGTTAACCGGTCGGTCAGACCGGTCGGTCAAACGGTCGGTCAGAGGTCTTTGACCGTGACCGTTGCCATCCCTAATTAAAATACACATACTATCTTATCAAATAACAAAAATAAAAAGGATGTTAATGACTTATTGTATGATAATAATAATATTATGCACAATTAAATTACCTGAAATTCGATATAATACGTTTATATTGTACCATATACTTAGATTTGTACACTTATTTATTAGTTTTCTTTGGTTCTTTTCCATAAAAGATCATGTATCACCACTTCTTCAACATTAATTAAACCAGCAAACGTAACCATGTTTATCAAATCTAATTGAATCTGGATGTAATTATACTTCTTACAGAATTTCCCATTTTTTGATTCCTTTTTGTCATTTGACTTCAATAATTCAAGTTCAAGCTAACGAAACTCCATATCAGAACTCCTCAGTATTACTTTTTTTTCTCCACAAATCATCTATGGACGCAAGATATTTTGCTATCATTATTAAATTTATTTCTGGCTATGAATGTGTCTATCCCGTCTTTCATAGTCTAGATTCATTTCCATAGCAATAATCTTTGATAATTTATAAAATGTATATCGCCTTGTTAGAATTTTTTTTTTAATTCTCTCCCATTAATACAAATTTTTTAGACATAATTTCTCCAAATTTGCTTATTCGTATACTAGACAAATGATAAATGATAAGCATTTCTAATATTATCTAATTTGTCAACCAAAATTTCATTCATATCACTAATCAGCTAAATTACTTACATGTAATAAAGTATAAAAGGGAGTATCATTATTAAAACAAAATTTTCTTCACTTTTATCACTTTTATTTGAAAAAAAAATGTTTTGCCAAACTTTGTCTGATACACTTTTAAGAGATATTAGTAATCTTTATGATAAAGCTGATGATTATAATGTAAAAATACAAGTCGGAGAAGATTCAAAATGGAAATATTTAAAGCTCATTCAGTTATTTTGCGTGCTAGGTCATACTATTTTCGTTCTGCATTTTCTTCAAATTGGGCTAAAAAAGAAGGAGATTTTTATATATTTAAAAAACCAAATGTAACACCAATTGTATTTAAAATCATATTAAAGTAAGTAAATTAATTTTAAAGGATAATAAGTTTATTTTTAAACTATTGGCTTTTATAGTAAATTAATTTTTTAATTTTTTAGATATATTTACACTGGAACAGTTGTTAATGTAGAAAATAATTTTATTGAATAACTTCTTGCAGCAGATGAGATGAATCTATGTGAACTTACTGAGCATCTTTATAGTAATGGTCATTAGATTATGCAAAATAGCATTAAACTCTTTAATACTATTTCATGTCGAAAAGTAAACTTTCCTAAACTTAAAGAATTATGCTATAATACTATTATTCAAATCCCAAAATTATATATTAATTCTGATGAGTTTTTGGGATTAGATTATGAAGTCTTACTTACAATTATTCAATTTGATAATCTAGACATGAAAGAAATCGTAATTTGGGAGAATTTAATAAAATGGGTATAGCAAAGAATTCTACTTTTAATTCAGATATGAAAACTTGGACTATTAATGAATATGAGATCTTGAAGGAAACTATATCAAAATTTATTCAACATATTCGATTTTTTCAAATGACACCTCAAGAATACTATTATAAAGTCCGTCCTTTAGGTAAATTGCTTCCTAAAGAAGTTGAAGAAGACCTCCTTTCATATTTTATTGTTCCAAATTGCAAATTGGCCACAAAAGTTCTTCCACCTAGAAAAATTCAGTATAAATTTGGTTCGTCCATTCTTAAGGGAACCCATTTTAATCTTATTTCATACTGGATTGATAATGGTCAAGAAGTATTGCCAAATCCACTTGAAGATGGTCAATATGAATTTAATTTGCTTTTACGTGGAAGTAGAGATGGATTTGAACCAAAAGATTTTCACTTAAAATGCAATAATAAAGGAGCTACAATTGTTATAATTAAATTAAAAAATTTGGAAAAAATGATTGGAGGATATAATCCAATAAAATGGAATGGATCTAATAGATTTCTTAATTCAGATAAAAGTTTTATCTTCTCATTTTCAAATAATTTACAATCATCTAAAATTATATTAAGTAGAGTTAAACATGATGACTCAGCAGTTTCAGATGATAATGATAGAAACCAAGGATTTGGTCGTGGAGACTTATATATATTTAAACAAAGTTGTAAACTAGTAAATTACTCTACTGAAATTCATGATTCTGAAAATTTTGAAATTTATGATTATGAAGTGTTTCAAATTATAAAAAAGTAATATTGGCTTTTATTTGGTTATAAACCATTTTTTTTAATATTTCATTAATAATTCATTAGTATTTCATATTGTTTATATTATATTATTCTTTTGTTTTATTTACATAATAAATAAAGAAAACTATTCTAAATAAATATTTTGTTTAAAGGGTATTACTAAATATCACCAGTGGTGATCGTCACCACACCACTTAATTCTGGCCGAAAATTATAATTTTGGCCAGAGTTAAAAAACACACCATAAATTTCTTTTCAAAAATTTCAAGTAAATAATAAATGTGTAACACAAACCTGAGTAGATACTAATCACACTAAAATTTTGAAAATTTGACTATAAAAAACCTTTTTTAAAACAAAAAATTGTATTTTACTTATAAAATCAAACTTTCCTGTTTTTCTCAAAAACTATCTAAACAATAGCCTTTATAATCTAAGGGAAACATGTTCTACTCATAAATTTACATATAGTAATAATATTTATATTATAATTAGAAGAATATTCAGTCAAAAATTTTTGAAAATTCAAAAAATATTTTACATGTGGTGACGATCACCACTGGTGATATTTAGCAATACCCTTGTTTAAAAGCCATAATACAAATAAATTTCTCAAGATCTGCATAAATATTTTATTATAAAAAATGTTAACATTTAACTTTTTTTTTTTACTTAAAAAGATATTAACCATATCAGCGGATTTGTTCACTTTTGCATAATGCTAAATTTTGAATGATTTTCATAATATCCGTCACCCAAAACCGGTTTGTAATGTCATGAAATCACCTGATTGAATATCACTTGACTAAATAATAAGTCGAGTGAAAATCTACATTTGCGAAACTTAAATTATTTAAAGTAAAATAGACACAAAAAAACCCATTTCATTAACAAAAAACCCATTTCTCACCTGCATAGTATTTTTAATGTGTATTATTAGAAAGTAAGTATGTTTTAATAAAACAAAAAGTAAAATAAAAATTTATATAGACACAATAGCTATGAATATTTATAAAAGTATTCTAAGACTCATTTAATATTTAAAAAATTTTTTTTTTATAATAACTTTCATAAAATTGTCCATTTTTTGAATTTTTCAAAACATATTATTAATTCTTATTTATCTTGCTGTAGACAAAATAGGAACTTTTATATTCAAACAAATTGTAAGCATATGTATTATTGATTTTTACACAAAAAAGATTTAGAAGCTATTGTATAAAGTGAGATTCCACAACAGATATTATCAGTATTGCTAAGAATAATATTTATTGTATTTTGGCTTAAAAGAACTATTTATCAAATTTATCAAATTATTGTATTAATAAAACCAAATAAAATTTTTTTAATGTTCGTCCCAGGTCCTACTGCACCATATGCAATAATTTGTGTAACAAAAGTACCTTAAAATAAACATGTTAATTAGAGGGTGAACAAATCCGCCGATATGCATCATTTAAGCATAATTTTTACTTGTTAAAGTGTGTTTTTTATAAATTCTTTATTTCTTATACATAATTCTGCAATTTCCTCTAATCATGCTCATCTTGCAAAATTTGAATTTAGTATAATGCCTTAATAGCTTTTCAGTTTCATTCAATTTTAATTAATAAATCTCTTGGGTCTATCAATCCTCTACTTCAAATACTTTATCAAGCACAAAAATTTGGCTCATTTTTATTGGATATTAATAATATGGGATCGGTCCCCGGTCCAGACTGGTCTTCAGATCTCAGACCAAATATCGTGAAGATCAGTCCCAAGACCGACGCAGGACCAGTCTTTGCTAGGACTGATCCAACCCTAATTTTGACTCCCCCTCCCCTCTGGATTTTTTAAGAAAATATGGACATTAAACAAACAATTAATTTGGAATGGCCTAGCTAATAAATAAACATTTGATAATATAATTCTTAAACTATTTCCAAATTTCACACCTTCATCAAACAAGATTTTGTAATCTATTTATGTGAAATTGAAATAATGTAAATAAGTAAGAAATGTAATTAAAAAGGTTTCACTATATAAATTGCACAGTGTTAATAATTACAATCTTTCTTTGATTTTTTTATTTGAAATAAAATAAATAAGCCCAGTCACCATTCTAGTGAACCAGTACTAGTACCAAGAAATATTTATTCAGTATACATTACCTATTAAATTACCATATTTAACTTGTAGCACATAAAAGTAAAAAAATAACTCTTTCTAGTAAAGTTATATATTAGACAAAATATAAGTTCAGTATGAATCATTATGAAGACAAATATACAAAATACTTTATTAGACATTAAATACTATGTCTCAAACATTTTGATGCATTATCAATATAAAAATGAAATACATTGTTTCATTTGTGATCAAGCCAAATTACTTACAAGTAAATTACCATTTTTAACTGTAGCACATAAAATTTCTAGTAAAGTTATGTATTAGATAAAATATAAGCTCAGTATGAGTCAGCATGAAGGCAAATATACAAAATACTTTATTAGACATTAAATACTATGCTCATTTTTTGATGCATGATTATATAAAAATGAAATATATCGTTTCATTTGTGATCAGCTAAATTACTTACAATAAAGTATAATAGGGAGTATCATTATTAAAACAAAATTTTCTTCACTTTTATCACTTATATTTGAAAAAAAAAAATGGTTTGCCAAACTTCGTCTGATATACTTTTAAGAGATATTAGTAATCTTTATGATAAAGCTGATGATTATAATGTAAAAATACAAGTCGGAGAAGATTCAAAAATGGAAATATTTAAAGCTCATTCAGTTATTTTGCGTGCTAGGTCAAACTATTTTCGTTCTGCATTTTCTTCAAATTGGGCTAAAAAAGAAGGAGATTTTTATATATTAAAAAAACCAAATGTAACACCAATTGTATTTCAAATCATATTAAAGTAAGTAAATTAATTTTAAAGGATAATAAGTTTGTTTTTAAACTAGTGGCTTTTACAGTAAATTAATTTTTTAATTTTTTAGATATATTTACACTGGAATAGTTGAACTCGAAACAGTTAATGTAGAAAATAATTTTATTGAATTATTTCTTGCAGCAGATGAGATGAATCTATGTGAAATTACTGAGCATCTTTGTAATAATCATTGGATTATGCAAAATAGCATTAAACTCTTTAATACTATTTCATGTCGAAAAGTAAACTTTCCTAAACTTAAAGAATTATGCTATAATACTATGATTCAAACCCCAAAATTATATATTAATTCTGATGAGTTTTTGGGATTAGATTATGAAGTCTTACTTACAATTATTCAACTTGATAATCTAGAAATGAAAGAAATCGTAATTTGGGAGAATTTAATAAAATGGGGTATAGCAAAGAATTCTACTTTTAATTCAGATATGACAACTTGGACTATTAATGAATATGAGATCTTGAAGGAAACTATTTCACCATTTATTCAACATATTCGATTTTTTCAAATGACACCTCAAGAATATTATTATAAGGTTCATCCTCTAGATAAATTGCTTCCTAAAGAAATCAAAGAAGACCTACTTTTATATTTTATTGTTCCAGATTGCAAATTGACCACAAAAGTCCTTCCACTTAGAAAATCTCAGTATGTATTTGATTCATTTATTCTTAAGAGAACTCATTTTAACCTTATTTCATACTGGATTGAAAATGGTCAAGAATTATTGCCAAATCCACTTGAAGATGGTCAATATGAATTTAATTTGCTTTTACGTGGAAGTAGAGATGGATTTGAACCAAAAGATTTTCACTTAAAATGCAATAATAAAGGAGCTACAATTGTTATAATTAAATTAAAAAATTTGGACAAAATGATTGGAGGATATAATCCAATAAAATGGAGTGGATCTAATAAATATCTTAAAACAGATAAAAGTTTTATCTTTTCATTTTCAAATAATTTATGCTCGTCAAAAATTAAATTAAGCAGAGTTAAAAACAGTGGTTTTGCAATTAGTGATGGTAATATCGATAGACGCTACCATGGATTTGGTTATGGAGATTTAGATATATTTGAAAAAAGCTGTAAATTAGAAGATTATTCTATTAAAATTCACGATTCTGAAAACTTCGAAATTGATGATTATGAAGTGTTTCAAGTTGTAAAAAAGGAATAATAAGTATAGTTTATATAATAGAATTAATTGGAATCACCAAATCAGTTTAACATTATTAGCTTTAATTTTAAGAATAATTGCAGTATAATTGCATACTTGCATCTTTAGCCTATATTAATTTAAACCTAAAAGTTATTGAGGCAATTTAACTATACTTTGAGCAATATAATTATGTATACAAACTGAAAAGATCATCTTTATTGTTTGGTGACATAACTAAATTTTTCTTGATAAAAAAATATTTAACTCAAAAATGGTTAATAATTAAATTTTTTCTATTCAACAAATTTTTTATTTTTTTTACAAAATATTGAAATTCGAAAAGAATTTCTAATGTAATATATTAATAAAAATAAAAAATATATAAAATATTGAAATTTGAAAAAGAACTGTCAAACGCATTATATTAACAACATAATACCTATAATATCTTAATTGGGTAAAATTTTTATTGATTCATAAATTTTGAATAATTTTGATAATTTTTGATTTGGATTTTCAGATTAATAAAATAATCCCCTGTCACACTAAGTGTCACCTTCATACTAATTATTGGAAATTGCGAACTATTAACAAAGTTTATAAATAACGGAAATCTTCGTGGAAATCTTTAACGAGTTAGTCATATGTTATAGTATATTTAATAAGTGATACGCTCCAGAGGGTTACCTATTTATTTCATGAGGAGAGAACGCTAGAATTTGTTTCCCGAGAAAAAAAACCTATTCCTCCCAAATAAATAATACATAAAGTAGGGTAATTCATGTAATCTATCCGCGAATTTTGCATAATTAACATAAAAATTTTTGTTCTACGTACATTCATTATAAGCAACAATAATACGCTAATAATATTTATAATATTTTTGTTCGTAACTCGACATAACTAAGAAAATTTACTGTTAAATGTCTTGTTATACCTAAACGATACTTTATGGAAATAAATTTCAGATTATTGAGAACATATGGGCGCATTTTTGGAATTAATGATGCACCTTCCTGGCTTAATATTAAAATTATTCCAAAAACGTGTTTATATGAAGAATGTCATTATTATAATCGCATCCCGTGATCGCCGATTATCCGGAGTACATCGATCTTCGTGGAATTCCAAATCGGATCCGGATGATCGACAGAACACCATTTTGCGGCTAAAAATTAAAGGTGATCACATGTTGTTATCAATGAAATTATACCAATATTAATAAGGTTAGATATCAGATAATCACGAGGTTTTGGCTGGAAAAGTATTAACAGTTAACATTTTTTATTTTTTTATTTTTCAAAACAAAAACATATAAAAAAATAATAATAAATTTATTCTTTTATATAATTCTGATAAATTGAGATTTATATTTGTTATGTTTGCATTTGAAAATCTTTAACGACTACATTTTTAAAAATAAATTTTGTTCAACTTTTTAAATTTTATTTACTAGTATCGGGATGATCGTGTAAAAAAAAAAATAAAAAAAATTTTTTTTTTTATTATATAATAATTCACCGAATATGTTAGTTTAGGATTTAAAGTGTGATGTAATTCGTCTTTTAATTATGAGTTATTTAACGCATGATACTTTTATTATTTTTGCGTATGATCATGTGAAAATACAATTATAGACAACAATAATGATCGACAAATCATTTAAATAGCATTGCATATAATGGGAAATGATATCCATTTTTTTTCAAACGATAATCCCTTTTTCTTTTAAGAAAAAAAAAAAAAAATGACTCGTCAAGCATTAACTGATACACTTTTAAGAGATATTAGTGAACTTTATGATGGAGCTGATGATTATAATGTAAAAATACAAGTTGGAGAAGATTCTGAAACAGAAATTTTTAATGCACATTCAGTTATATTACGTGCAAGGTCAACTTATTTTCGTTCCGCATTTTCTTCAAATTGGGCTAAAAAGGAAGGAGATTTTTATATTTTTAAAAAACCAAATGTATCCGCAATTGTATTTCAAATTATATTAAGGTAAATTATGAATACTTTTAAATTTTTTTTTGATAATAAATTTGTATATTAAAAATATTGAAAAAAATTTTTTATAGATATATTTATACTGGAACAATTGCGTTAGACGCAATTAATGTTGAAAGTAATCTTATTGAATTACTTATTGCAGCAGATGAGATGAACCTTTATGAACTTGTTGATCATCTTCAACAACATATTATTCATTTAAATCATGATTGGATGGTTCAAAATGGGGTTAAACTTTTTAATATAATTTCTCAACATAAAGGTATATTTTCTAAACTTGAAGAATATTGTAATAATATTATGAATCAAGAACCTGAATTATTGATAGATTCTAATGATTTTTGGAGATTAGATGATGAAACTTTAATTACATTTATACAACTTGATAATCTTAAAATGGAAGAGGTTAATATTTGGGAAAATTTGGTTAAATGGGGTATTGCAAAGAATTCTACACTTAGTGCAGATATGACAACTTGGGGATTTGATGAATATGGTATTTTAAAAAAGACCTTAACAAAATTCATTAAACATATTCGATTTTTTCAAATGACACCTCAAGAATATTATTATAAAGTTCGACCTTTAGGTAAATTACTTCCTAAAGAACTTGAAGAAGATTTACTTTCATATTATATTGTTCCAGATTGTAAATTAGCAACAAAAGTTCTACCACCAAGAAAATCTCAAAATAATAAAAGATCCGAATCATCAATTATTACAACCAAACATTTTAATCTTTTATCATATTGGATTGATGATGGACAAGAAACATTACCAAATACACTTAAAAATGGTCAATATGAATATAATTTACTTTTACGTGGTAGTAAAGATGGATTTGGAGTAGAAATCTTTAGAACAAAATGTAATAATAAAGGGGCTACATTAGTTATAATTAAATTAAAAAATTCAAATAAAATTATTGGAGGTTATAATCCAATAAGATGGAGTGGATCAGGTAGTTATCTTAATTCTAATCAAAGTTTTATTTTTTCATTTTATTCAAATGATTTAGATTCTTCAAAAATTATTTTAAGTAGAGTTAAAGATAGTTTTTATGCAATTTTAGATGATAATAATAGAGGTCAAGGTTTTGGATTTGGTGATTTATATATATTTTTAAAAAGTTGTAAATTAAAACATTATTCTACTAAAATTCATGATTCTGAAACCTTTGAAATCGATGATTATGAAGTATTTCAAGTTATTAAAAAATAGAGGAAAGATTTTTTTTTTTTTTTTTGTTAATTTATTTATTAATTTATATTGTATTCATTATTATTTATAGAAGAAATAAAAAGAACATTTATTTTATAAAATAAAATAATAATATTTCCAAATATAAATTACATTACCCATTACCCATAAATCGAAATTACATGTCATTTTTGATAATATATACTATTTATTTCATGAACCTTCTCATGAAATAAATGGGTAATCTCTTGGAGCGTGCCACTCATTAAATATTAACTATTTTAAATTAAAATTAGTAATTTTCCGGCTATCTATATGAGGCCGGGAAATAAATAAACGAAGATTCCCGGTCATTTATAAACTCAGCTAACCACTCGCAATTTTTAAAAATTAGTATAAAGGTGATCATGAGTGACACTTAGTGCGACAGGGATTATATGATTTATTCCAGATCTTTCTTACGTAAATTGATTTTAAGTTAGAAATTGACTTTAAGGTAGCGGTGATGATGATTATCTTATGTAAATCAACTTTAAAGTAGCGGTGATAAATGATTATCTTAAATTGACTTTAAGGTAGCGGTGATATTCCATTTCGATATTTAAATTCAATATTATAATTCAAAAATATGAATGAAATATTAAGATTAATTTGTTTCATACGTACAGTATATCATTAATGAAATTGTGATGATGATTATATACGCTTCGATATTTAAATCAAATATTATAATTCAAAATTCGAACTTTAATATGTATCCCATAAATTCAAATTTTCTAGGGTTCAGTATATATATAGATCATTAATTTGTTCAGTGATGTGAAATATCAAGTTGAACTTGTTTTCTACAAATCATTGGTAATGGTTGATTATATCTACTTTGATATTTTATGTCCGATAATTTGAACATCCTTTTGTTGGGTTATCAACTGAAAGACTAATTAATTATTCTCGTAGTAATCCAATTATACTACATCTGCATATTTATCTACGTGCTTCTCTTTCATCATTTAATGCATAAATACATCCAACATCATAATCCAAAATTTAAAATTTGAATAAAATATTAAGATGAATTTGTTTCTGATATGGAATTTGAAAACCTTTGTTAAAGTATTCATAAAGTTGACAAAAGTTCTATTTTGTTAATATAAAAGATATTAATTTTTTAACAATAATCAAATTGATTAAATAATCAAACTATTAAATGATCGGCTCTAAAATTGCCAATAATAAGATTGTTTAAATCTAACTAGATTTAATAATTCAAAGTTCCGACATATGAGAACTAATTTCTCAATTGGCTGAAAAAATTTGCCAAGAAAAAAAGTAATTTCTTTATTTTAATAAATTCATATATCAAATAGAATTTTTAAAAGTTAAATCTAGTTAATTTGAATTCTTAAAAATTTGCAAATATTACTTACTATATTTCATCTGATATATTGAAATTGTGATAAATGGATAATGATGCACTATTTTCAATTATTTAGATTTATAATCATGAAAAATCTTGGATCTAGATATTGCAAAAATGTTTTTTACTTATTTGACAACTTGATTAAGGAAAAAAGCAATAAGCATATTCAGCATATTCTACTTTTCAATAAGAATTATTGCAAAGTTCATTCTTTGAATAAAATATCTTCAAATTTGTTAAATTTATTATATATCAAACTAAATTCAACTTATTTCACAAGAAATATTAAAGAATCTATCAATTAGATCTAATATCATGATTAATATCTATTTCAATTTGTTTATAATCAATCATACATTACTCATTCAAAATGTGATCATGAGATTAAAAATATCCTGATAAAAATTGCTTAGGAAATATAAAGAATAATTGATCTGATAATCTGATATCTTAAATTTTAATGACATGTTATTATTCTTTGTTGTATTATTATTATTTTTATGATTTCACTTTCATACTTTCATATTATCAATTGTAAAGTGATTCCCAAAAGAATATTTGAATATTTTGATAATGAAACTTGCAAAAAAAAACATTTATTAATTATTTCGATAAAATAAATATCTGATACTTTTTTTTTTTTGATTAATAACATTAATAATAATTAATTCATTCTATTTTACTCTATTTTAAATCTCATTAAATTCATAATTTTTTCATGATTTTCTGTTTTTTTCTCTTAAATTAAAAGTAAATTAATATTAATTAAAATCTATTAATTTCAAATTTTTTACCACAAAGCAATTAGGTTTTTAATCCATTATAAAAAAAAAATTAATTATTCAATAATGTTTGTAATACAGAAGAAATTTTATACTATAGTATAAAATATCTACTAAAAACCTATCCTGAATGTTCCGATTGAATTGTTCGGCTTGTTAACCTTCATCACATTGAAAGAAAAAAAAAGAGAGAGAGAGAGAGAGAAAATCTAAAAATATGAAATAATTCCAATAAAAGAATTCTTCCATTCTATTTAAAAATCAATATAATATGATCTTTCAATATTTTATTGTTAATATTCAATATATATTTCGTATAAAATAGACTTTTTTACCTATTGGAACTTTCTTAGTCCAATTTTATCACCGATTACACTTAATCTTGGTCGAAAATTGTATCGGGAGATGTTACTGTGGATTCACTAAAATCACTATGATGTCTACAATTTTCTTCATCAATTATCATCTTATTATAAAAAGAGGAAAAAATCAAATATTTCGATTAGTTATAAGATTTTATGTTAACGTTCATTTACTTATAATAGGCTTTTATGATTTTAATTACTGTAAATAATATTATAAATTCAAGAAATATATCCTTGAACCGATTATATTAAAAATAAATAAAGCATTTCTTACTTGATTTGGATTAGAATTTTCGACTTGAGATTGAGTCAATTTACTTCGAAAGTCTTTAACGAGATCATTAGCATTTCGAAGGTTACGTATTGGTTGCCAATCTGATTCCAAGTTCGGATCTTGATAAAAAAGAAATTAAACCCATAATTTAAATTTATTACTTAAATTTATTAACAAAATATTCAAATAAACTTATTTTTTTTTTTACCAGAATAAGATAATAAAGCGTATTCTTCTCCATCTTGACTTTTAATAGCTAAAATATCATTAATATATACTTTAACATATTGAGGTTTTTGCGGAGGTAAAGTGGAAATTTTTCTTTTTTGCTTCTGATTATTGCGACTCTTTCCATTACTAATGTACTCAAAATTATTTATTTATAACAAATATATTTTCATTAATAATGTTCAAATTTTATATTAAAAGATATTTTAATTGAAAATTTTATTTTTTTTTTAAAAAAAAAACTTATTTATTAAATAAAAATTACCTCTTTTTATTTTTATTATTTATTTCATTTTTTCCTTGCTTATTTTTTCTAACGGATAGTCTTGTGACGTAAGTCATATTTTTAGGGGAGGGAAAAAAAATTTTTTTTTTTATAGTAAAGTGATAAACAAATTATACAAATTATATAAAGTAAACAATTATGGAAGAAGATAGAATTTTACATAAATGTTGGGCTTTTTTTTTAGTGCAAAAGATAAACAAATGGATTATCACGTGGGTAAAAAAAAATTTAACGCAACACCGGCATACCGTTCTGTTGTGTCTATTGGATCCAATATTAAAAATTGTAAAATTATTGGCTAAAAAAAATTTATGTACACTCGGTTAATTGTACTACATTTATTATTAAAGTAATTTAACCATATATGTACTCCCGATAGTGCATGAATTTCTCCCTATAATCTTCGTTATTATTTTGGCGTACAGAATTTCAAAGTTTTATTTAGAGAAAAAGTTTACTTTATTAATATCTTTTTTATGCACTTATTTAAAAAAAAAAAAATTCTTTTTTTTTTTGTTCAAAGTAGTAAAAGAAGAAACACATTACGCTATGATACCGAAATTCATAAATGATTGACAAACTTCGTTTTAAAATAAAACTTTTATTATTTATTTGCGCACGTTTATTTATTCAAATATTTAAATTGAAAATCGTAAATATATCAGATATTAAGAATTTTAAACTAATAAATATCGATAATAAAATTTATTGAAACCCTTTTAAAAAAAAATAAAAAAAATTGATTTTTTCAAAATAATTTTTTAAAAATACAAAAAAATACGCTTTTTATTAATTTATAAATAAAATTTTTTGGATATTAGTAAAAGCCAATTTATTTTTTAATGAGAAAATAAAATATGAATGAATGCGCAATGCTTGTATGCATTTGAAACAACTTTTGAATTAAATTAAACAACATTCTTTTAAGAAGAAAATATAATAATAAATTAATCCTTTTAAATTATGTTTTGAGTGGATTTCACTTTATCATAACGGGTAGTAATAGTTAATTTCAGGGACGAGCACTTATTAACGATTATTATACTATATTTTGAGGTCTATAAATTAAAAAATTTTCTACAAATTGTCATGGGAATGGACGGTATTTTAATGCTATATGAACTTAAAATTAGTAAGAATATAATTTTTCACTCTATTATTTTTTTTGAGGTAGAAAAAATCAACTTAACACCTGATATAATGAGTTTTCTAAGAAGTAACTAAACTTAAAATTCTATTAGGTTATTATGTGTCCTCGAGTGTTATTGCAAAGACCTCATTTATATTCAGACATCACCTAATCGTTAAAAAGCCGTCTTCAATAATTCAACTGATACAACAAAAACCAATCGTTGCATTAATAACAGGTAAGTATTACCCGCAACATTAAAGGATATGTTAATTTATCATTTCACATCATTTAGAAAGTCTCTTATTATTTTTTAGTGTACATAACTAGAAGACGTGATCTTTAACAGTATAATAAGTCACAAATAATTTCGGCATTCAATCGTCAGACCTTATCACGGTTTAATATATTTTAAAGTGTTAAACATATTCGTTTATTTAAAATTACAATACAATCTTTTGAAGATCATTATCTATTTAGAAAGATTCGGGATGATCAGGGATGTCCCGAAAAGTTGCATTAGTAATTAATTTTAAATTATGTGTGACCGAACTTTATTATGGAATATTTGTGTTATGAAATTCGTCCAAAGAATTCTATTGTGACATTCTTAGGAAAAAAAACAAAAACCTCATAAACCATAAACATTTCTTAAGTTTTTGAATCTTTCTTAAAAAAAATACTCCAAATAAATAAAGTGTATTTTTCAAAGTAACGATAAACAAATATTAGTTATGTGGTTTTTTAAAAAAAAAAAACTAATTGATAAGTTAAATTCACACCACCAGTAGAAGTTATTAATGATATTCATCGAGCTTGCAAAGAAAAACGAGCAAAAACAATGATATCAAGCGGAAATAAAATTATTGACAATTTTGTAGAATCAATTGTAATGTGATGATGGAATTTATCCCATATGATAAATTCGATAATATAAAATTTATTGCCGAAGGAGGATTTAATTCTAAAAACATGAGTTTCAATTAGTTAAATGAGGTATTTTTATATCTTATCCTAGTAATGATTATTGCTTATATAAAATTATTAATTTATATTTATTATTTTAGCTCAAAATATATCATTCTTATTGTCTAAAAGAAAAAAAAGTAGACAAATCTACATTAATATATATTATGGAATAACTCAAAATCCCGTTACTCAAAATTTTATGATAATTACAGATTATATTCATATCATTGTGGAAATATTTTTATTTTTATTGAAGGTCTATCAGCAGTAATTAGTTGATGATGAAGATAATGAAATATATGGTATTATTCCATATGTTGCTCCAGAGGTTTTGCAAGGACAAAAATATACTAAAGCTTTGGATATATATAGTTTCGGAATGATTATGAGGGAATTAATGACAGGCAGAAGACCTTTTTGTGATAAAAATCATGAAGCAGAACTTATTATTGAAATATGTGATGGAGTTCGTCCTCTAATTGTTACAAATGCACCTGAAGGTTATGTTGAATTAATGCAAAAATGTTGGCATCCTGATCCAAATAAAAGACCACCAGTCACTGACTTAGAATATAAGATTCGCAAACTTTTGCTGGAAGATCCATGTAAAATTATGAAATCACCAGATATTGGGCCTATAACAAATAATCCGCATGCTATCTATAAAAGCAAGACCTTTAAGTGAAATGATAAAATCTGCAGAGTCCACAAGAAATTTAATAAGTCAAAATATTACCTTAGAATTTAGTAAGTAATGCCCTAAATACATTTAGATATTAAGAATACTGTAATTACAAATTTATTAATATAATTATCGGTAAATTTTATTTTTTCAAAAGAAAAAAGAAGACTGGATGACAATATGATTGGGAATGATAATAATTGTACGGTATACTCTTTTTTCTTGATTATTTTTAATAAACTTTATTATATTAACTAAAAAAAGACACAATATTTTAGATAATACTATTAAAAAAATTAAATCATTTAAAAATGAAAATACTGGTAATTAAAAAGTTTTTTCTTTAATATATAATTTTTAATAAAAAAATAATAATATTCCTTATTTTCTTTAGAATATTTGACAAAAGAGCTTAAGTTTGATATTGATGGAAATGAAAATATTACTGGGTTCAACAAAGAACAAATTAAGTTTATAATTAATGATTAATATTTTTTTGATTGAATTGAAATTTATTATTAATCATTTAATCTGATTATGTTATTAGGGAAATTGGGTTTGATATTTAGTTTTTTTTTCGATTTCAAGATTTACAATTTTACAATTTTATTATGTAGAAAATTTACTTATTAGGAATATTGTATATTTTGAGATCATATTTCATATTTATTTTGTTTATTTCTATATAATAAATATTACAAATAAATATAATATTTAACAGATAATGATGTTTTTTTATAATTGATTATTTTGAAATCATGAACTTAGTCTACTTTGATTGAAATAGACTAACAAATAAACAATCATGAATAACCGGAAAATTTTATTCATTAACAATCAAATTGATGGTTTAATAAACTTTACCTTTATAAATTGTTACTTTCCCTATATATAATACAATATGTTAATAAAAAGAAACCCTTATTATAAATATTTAAAAGAGATATACACCGTAGAGCCACGACTCGGGTATCAATTAGGTATGATAGATTAGATAGATTTAAGAGCAAATAACTTACGCGTTTTTTGTAGATAAATTATCCAAGTCAGTATTAAATAGGAACAAGCTGTGTAATTTACTCGTGCATTGTCTTTTTCTTTGCTACTTTATTTCTAGTTGAAATTAATTTTGGCTGAATTAAGGATCTGGTCAAATTGTTTTATATCGGCCTCTTAGATGATGATTTTCTGGGACCCATGTTCTACGGATTTTCTACATCTAAATTTAAATTCGGGAAAGTTATCATATATTAGAATTACAATATATGACATCTAAAGTTTGATTTGAAATAAAAGATTCAAGATCCATTCGCAGCAGAGCTTGTAGTTTTGTTAGACCAAATACACCACTATGTTAATTTAGATAATTTGTATTGAATATTTTTCTTTTATTATTTAACAGCAGAAATTGAATATGATAATATTGGCCAATCTCGTATCAAGTGAGAAAAAAAAAATATATTTCGTATATTTACTAGTTATTATAAGTTATATTACCGAAAAAAACTAATCTAGATATTAATATACAAAAATTAATAGACTTTGTATAATTGTTAGTATGATTATACATATAATTATAAAAGTAATAAATTTATCCTTATTGAAAAATCTTAACCTCTTGAAATCTAAAACAAATAGTAAATTTATAATTAAATAATTAAATCATCTTATCTTATTAATCTTAAATAATTTTTAAAGCATGAAAAGTATTTTTGGAATGCTGCGGATCTGACTCACTTGATGATCGACATTCCGATCATCAATTAATTTATAATTCGGGCCAAAATTTAGTATTAAGAGATAGACAAATCACCACGTGATTTTATCCAACAAAATACAGCGCATGTGATCCCACAGAAACTCCAATCGAATTACTATTGACTATAGAGTCGTATTTAATGTTAATATTAATATTGTCAATTCATATTTAGAATTTTATATGTCTGATCTTTTAATGATCATCATCTATTTTAGAAAATTCGAAGGTTGCATTAATTAAATTGTGTGACGTCAAACAAATGTGATATTGTGATTTAATAGTTACTCATTATATAATTTATAATTACAAATAAATATTTATTAATACAAATATTCCACGATAAAGTTCCATTGGAACCATATAAATATATTGAACTTGTCTATTATGATATTCTTAGAAAAATACCCTCCATAAACATAAACATTTGTTTAAATTCTAGAATCTTACTCAAAAATACTTCAAATAATAAAGTGCATTTTTTATAAATTACATGAACACATTGCTTTTTTTTTTTTTAAAAAAAAAAACAACATAACTAATTAAATATGTCAAATTCACATCGTCATATGGAATATAAGTGTAATATTTATCGGACTTGTAAAATATGTAAAGAAAAACGAGTAAATTCAATATTTCCATCGAGCGAAAATAAAATTGTTGACGATTTTATTAAATCCACACAAATCAATGGTAATGTGATAATGGAATTTGTCCCGTATGATAAATTCAAATACGTAAAATTTATTGCTGAAGGAGGGTTTAGTAAAATTTATAGGGCCAATTGGATTGATGGCCCAGTAATTGGTTGGAATCATAAAGAACAAAAGTATATTCGTGGTCGTCACAAATTAGTTGCTCTTAAGGACCTCTATGATTCTGAAAACATAAGCTCCAAACAGCTGAATGAGGTATTTTTATATCTTATCTTGGTAATGATTATCGTTCCATATAATCTTAATTTGTACTTATTATTTTAGCTCAAAATATATTATTCTTATGGTCTAAAAGAAGATATTGGACTAGCCCTATAAAAAAAGAATGTCCGGAAATTGTAGCTGAAAACGTCCGGAAAATGTTTATTTGTCTGGAATATGTCCGGAATATTGCAATATTCCGGACGTTGGAAAATTTCCATTTTCCGGAAAATGTCCAGAAAATGTCTAGGAGGGTTCAGACCCAGCGTCCAGAAAGTGTCCGGAATATTGCAATTTTCTGGACGTTTTCCGGACACACGGACATTTTCCGGATGTTTTTAGCTACAATTTCCGGACATTTTTTTTTTACAGGGTAGTCTACATTAATAAATATTATGGAATAACTCAAAATCCTGAAACTCGAAAGTTTATGATAATTACAGATTATTGCAGTTTAGAGGATCTTACACATTATATAACTAATAATTTTTTTGATATTACTTGGTCACATAAGTTACGCAAATTATATGATATTCTATCCGGACTTATACATATGCATAAAGCAAATATTATTCACAAAGATTATCATAGTGGGAATATTTTTATTGAAGGTTTATCAGCAGTAACAGGTGATTTAGGATTAAATAAATCATCATTTGATGATGATGATGATAATGAGATATACGGTATTATTCCATATGTTGCTCCAGAGGTTTTGCAAGGACATAATTATACTAAAGCTTCAGATATATATAGTTTTGGTATGATCATGTGGGAATTAATGACAGGTAGAAGACCTTTTTGGGATCGAAATCATGATACAGAACTTATTATTGAAATATGTGATGGCCTTCGTCCTCCAATCACTACAAATGTACCTAAAGGCTATATTAAATTAATGAAAGAATGTTGGAATCCTGATCCCAAGAAAAGACCAACGGCCACTGACATAGGACTTAAAATTTACAGGCTTTGGCTGGATGAAGGTAAAAATCCGTGTAAAATTGTGAAATCGCAAGATATTGGGCCCATAACAAATAACCCAGGTGCTATATACAAAAGCAGACATTTAAGTAAAATGGTAAAATCTGCAGAGTCCACAAGAACCTTAGGATTTAGTAAGTCATGTTTTAAATACATTTGGATCTTAAGAATAATTCCAAATTTTATCAGTATCATTATCGGTAAGTTTCATTTTACGGTATTACTATTTTGATTTTTTTAATGAATTTATTATACTAACCAAATAAAAACACAATATTTTAGATAATACCATAAAAAAATTAAATTACTTGAAAATAAAAATACTGGTAATTAAAAGACATATTCCTTTTATTATATAATTTATATAATAATGATTTCCTTATTTTCTTTATTTGTTTAAAGAGCTTTAAGTTTGATATTGATGAAAATGTGAATTCTATTGGATTCAACAGTGGTAAGTAAACAAATTAAGTTGGTTAAAATTTAAAATTTTTTGATTGAATTCAAATTTATTATTAATCATTTTAATCAGATTATGTCACAAGGGAAATTGAGTTTGATATTTAATTTTTTTTTCGATTTCAAGTTTAAACAACTTTAGTATGCAGAAAGTATTTTCTTTATTAAAAATATTGTATATTATAAGGTCATGTATTTCATATTTTATTTGTCTATTATTAAATATCACAATAAATATAATAATATAACTGAACAAATAATGATATTATTTATATTTGATCATTTTTGCTTATTCGTGTTTTTAAAGAGAAATAGACTATCGACTATCGAGTATTTTCTAATATTTTAATAAAACAATCATGAATAACAGAAAAATTTTATTCATTAACCATCAAATTAATGATTTAATAAACTTTAAATTTAAAAATTGCTATCTTCTATTTATGTAATGTGTTACCATTAACATTTAAAAGAAATATACAATGAAACACAAAATTTAATTGACTATTTTGTTTGAGCCATGAACTCGGTAATTAATTAATTAGATAAATTTATAGTAAGAGTAAATAATTTTGCACTAATTAATAAAATAGTTGCCTTCCTACTATTTATAACTTTTTAATTTAAAAAGTAATATTTAATAATGTAGTTTTTTATTTTTTTGAATATTTCTATGTATACCAATAGTGAAAAAGTGTATATTTTTTTGCCAAATTTTGCCTTGTTACACGACTTTATCTCTAACTTTAATCAGTAAATTTGCATAATTTTGGTATCAAAAGATTCTTTCTTTAAAAGAACCATTTTTTTCTATATTATTTATAATATTAACTTAATAAAATTATAATATAAAGTTTAAAACATAGTCGGATATGACCTCAACTATAATTATCCGGGGTCCTGGTAGATTACATTACCGAAAAAACTAATTTAGATATTAATATACCGT